GAGAACTGCTCCAGGAATTCCATCAGCAGAACTCCAGCAGTTCAGACCACCAGCCCAGCCACGCACACAGCCTGTTTCCTGGCACTGGCAGCACTGCTCAGGTCACTCGTGCCTGTCTGGGTGGTTACAGCCTGGGGACCAGAGAAAAGCAAGCAGAGCTTCTTGCCTGGAATTCATAAGGCAGGATGAAGAGCAAAGCTTCTGTCCCCCTCAGAAAACTTCAATCTGTTCCATCCCCTGCTCTCACCACACATTAAAATACCCAGACATGTGGTGCACGACTTCCATTTCCATACTGGTTTCATCTTTAAAGATGTATCTTCTGTAAGGAACTAGTGCAACTCATGCCCAAGGTTACATGCACAGCAGACTGTGCAGACGCAACAGACTGAATCTCTCTCAGCACTAAACAAACATTAGGAGCAGCTCATCCTAAATTCCCATTATAAACTGGAATTAAATTATCATTCTTCATTAATAACGACTTTCTAAAACAGCTCAAGGTATAGCTGAAAACAAAATAAATAATATACAGGAAGTTCAACCTAAATAAGTATTAGACTTACACTAGGAAAATTAAACTAATAATTCAGTCACATACTTTCTGATTTAAAAATAATAAAATGAAAGAGCCAAATGGTGGATTCCAAAGATTTTTAGTAGCATAAGCAGAAGATTACACTAAGCCCTGCTTGGCTTTTCCATGTGCCATGTCCTGCACCAGTAACACAAATCCCAAGAACAGAAGAAGTGATTACACTGAAGGAAGTACTCGCCTCAGTGACGATGGACGTGAAGTTACTGGCAAAACGGATGTGCTTGGCAAGCTCAGCTCTGCTCACTGGAATTCCCTCCTGGTCTATGTGGTACTTGGGCACAGCTCCCACAAGCACAATAAGCATCGACTGGCAAGCCACATATACCTTAAAATAAAACACAATCACTGACCCTGAACAACCCCAAGAGACCTGATGGAATATCACAGGCTTTTCATTAAATTAACGATTACCAATTCTCCTTTACCCAGCACCCCAAAGAAAACACAGTCAGCCTACTGTGTTTAAATCCCCAAATGTGACCATGGAGGCTGTTGGGACAGCAAGTACCACTCCAGAGAGGCTGGTGCACTTCCAAGGGAAGATTCATCTTGACACCCTCCTCCCTGGTGTGGAGTTGTTCAGTTTGTTCTTGCAGTTTTTAGCCAGTCATAGGAAAGGAAGATATTAAAAACTTCATTACAGTTTCATAGGTGAGATTTAATACTTACATTTTTTACATACAGAAGTTTTACTAACTATATTAAAAGAATAGAACCTGCAGTGACAAGTCGAGAAATACACATACATAAAAAAAAAAAACCTAAAAAAAACCAAACAAAAAACCAAAAAAAAAAAACAAAACAAAAAAAAAAGACAACCCAACCAACCAAAAATAAAAAAACCAACAAGAGAAAAAGAAATCTAATATTATGTTTTTAAAAGTCTTTGCTAATTCTTTCCATTTCAGGGACTGAATCCTTAACCTGACCATCAGGAAAACTAGAACGTGCGAGAGTAAACAAGATTTTTATAAAAAGAGACCCTTATGAGAATATTTATTCATTGAGATGGGCTTCAAGATGTTTTGAATGTCTTCCAGGCTTTGCGCGTGATTTTATTTTTTCTAACTTAAAATAATATTATCCCTAAGCATATCCACATATTAGTGATTTTTAGCATGTCACTGCCGATGGAAAAGTTTTGACTCCAGAATGGCTCCCTTCACTGGGCCACAAGTCTTCAGATGGTGCATTTGTCTGGATGTTGTTTTAATGTGCCATCTAATCCTGTGCTTACCTTGGACACTCTTGCAGAAACAAGTTACAAAGAAAACCATCAATCAGCACAATCTCCCTCCCTCCCAACGGTGTTTAATTCAAAATGTAAAGCTGTACTGACAAGAGGAAGCAAGAAAACTAAGGGAGCGAACCAGATAAATATTTGCATGCTGGGGTGTGGGCACTATTTAAAGACAGCACTTTGCATACGACTTTCAGAAGAGATTAAAAGAGGAAGAAAGAAAGAGAAACAGAAAAAAATTGTTGCATTTAGACTCCATTTCCCTCATCAGGAAAAGCATAAAAGGCACTCTTTAAAAAGCGAACGAGATAAAAAGATGTGCACAGGAATAAGGAAAACACATCATAAACTTTGAGAAGTTAAACACGCAAGACAGCACTGAGGTAAGAGAGAGGTTTGACATGCTCCTTGGAAAAGGACCAAATGTGTTTTGGAACGCCCACGAATCCAAGCGGGGCTCCAAAGGACGCCTGCCGGCACAGAGCGGCAAAGGGATCGAGAAGCGGAGCAGGGGACGGGACCGGGACGGTCCTCAGAGGCGGAGGAGCTGGGGGACACAGAGCCCCGGCTCCCGCCCTGACACCGCTTCCCGGCGGCATTCCCGAGCCCCCTGCAGCCCGGAGGTGCGCGGGAAAAGGGAATGTGCCCGGGAGCGGCACCGCCGTCCCCGCGATGGTGCGCCCGGGCTGTGCAAACAGAAAGCGAAAGGAGCGCCGGGGGCCCTCACCTGCAGCAGCACCAGCAGGGCCGTGAGGAGCCGCTGCCCGCGCCCGAACGGCCCCGCCGCCGCCAGCGCCTCCTCCACGTCCAGCCCCAGCTCCCGCTCCCGCTCCAGCCCCAGCCCCGCCGCCATGGCCCGCCCGGAGCGCGTCCAGCCAGGATGAGCCGAGCCCCGCCGAGCCGAGCTCCGCCCCGGCCGTAAAGCCTCACCCGCTGCCGGCCCGCCCGCAGAGCCCGCGCTCCGCCACAGCCGAGCGAGGCGGGCAGGGCGCGGAGCATCCGCCCCAGCCGTGGGGAACAACCTCTCCGCCGCTCCAGGAAGAAAATGCTGCCAAGGCAGGAGGTGGTTCCAGGCAGGATGCTCCGGGATACAGCCACATCTCCTCTCCAGCAAAAAGGCACTCCTGGGGTGCTGCGGGAGACACCCCGGCAGAGAGCAGAACAGCCCGGCAGTGCCAGAGCTGTTTGAAAACGAGAGCAGATCCCCCTCTTTCAGAATCTGGATTTTAAGAGAAGCAGTGTTTTTTATCAGGATTTCATCTAGACTAGATAATTGCAGGCTGCTACAAAAGGTTAATTTTGCTCAGTAGCCTTTTCCCCGGGCTGCTGTCTCTAGTCGTGGTAATTGGGCACCTACTGAACCAGGAGGCTGCCCTGCCAATTCAATAAACAATTTGAACTACCATAAAGATTCTCTTCACCCTGTGGCTTTCATCCAGCTTGCAGGGTGACACCAAAAAGCTCCACACCCTACAGACAGCAGGAGAAACTCCTTTCAAGTTGCCAAGTCTAGTTTTAAGAATAGAGACATTAATTATCATTAATTAAGGTGTTTGACAAAAGCACAGTGAGTGACCTTGTTTGGTGCAATTCCTTCAAGACTAACACACAGTTATATTTGCATTTTTCCTACCACTACGTTTAAAGGTGGAGCTTTTACTATTACATTAACTTTATACAGGGTTTTAGTTTTGCTTTGGGGGTTTTTTTAAGTCTTTCTCCTCAGCCCTATTAAGAAATCCTTTGAGGCAGTAAGTCAGGATGACCTCCCCTTAGTATTCTTAGTCCAGAACTAAAATTAGTAGAAAGATTGGCTGTCACAGCACAGCTCCCCAAAAAAGCAGCAGGTGCCACACAACAGAGCTAGTTTGTTGCCCAGGAACAGCTAAGTGAGGGTCAAAGTGCTGCTTACCTTGGAACTGGGACAGCCTGGAATAAAGGAAGTTTCTAAATAATTTCTAAGCTTCCTCATGCACGTAGTCACCATACATTGGCAGACAGTAGTGAAATCCTATGTTCTGAGGTCCTTGCAGTCTCTGCTCCAGCTGTTTTTCTGATTCCTGCCCTAATTCAGACAGAGCAATCTGTCACTGAACCTTGGCAAAGGCAGGCAGACATAAGACAGGCTCCTGTTCCATTCCTGAATACAGCTACAGAAAGGACCAAAGTCATTTTGGAAGTCTACTGATTTTACAAGAACTATTAGGTTTCCCCGCATATTCCAACATCTGTTTTCTCATGTTAGTGTGGAAAATACACAATGCCCAAGGACTCAAAATAAAGAGCCCCCAAAAGACCTGTCCCCATTGTTGCTGTATCTGTTTCGCCTTTAATGTTTCAGCCTAAGACATACATACCCAGCAGTTTTAGAATCACCAGCTAACGATTCCCTGAGTGGGTCTCACCAGCATCACTTTACACAGCAGGGAAGTTTTTAGCCCACATTCAGGAATGTTCTTGCTGCCTGCTAAACATCAGCTGAACAAATACAGGAGAAAAGGTCAGTATTGTTTTCTGACATCCACAATTTTTTGGCAGGGGGTATGTACCGCATGAACTGCTCTGACATCAGGAACTGAATCACTGCAAGGTCCCTTCCAGTCAGGTGGATTTTCATAATGCTTTTATTTATCACTACTGTCTCTCAAGTCTTTCTCCTCAATAAACATTATTAAGAAATTCTTTCCTTTGAGGCAGTAAGTCAGGAAGCCTTGCAAACAAGGTCCAGAGAACATGGTCACTGAGGTTTTGAATTGGGTTTTGGGAGGGGTGTTAAACAGTTTATTTGAGCTGTTTAAAAAGAAAAGGGCCAAGTTCACCTTCCTTCTCTAGGTCACCTCAAGAACTCTGCCTAGGAAATACAAACCCAAATCAGTTTGCTGTCCAACAGTTCCCCAGGAAGGTGTATCCTTTGGGACATGAAACATCTCAATTTGAATTTATTCTGAACCAAACATCTCAAACAGGTAACATTGCACCATTTTCAAGTTGCCTTTCCCAGGGTGAGTTTCATTTCGGTGTAGATCAGCTTCAGCCTCCATGGCAGAACCTCCAAAGCAGTTCAGTCACACTTCAAAGAGTTTTAAAAGTCTCTCCAAAGTTCAGATGGGTTGTTTTGGTGCTGGAACCATTATGATAAATAACAGAACACAGATCACATACTGACTGTTTTGTTAACTGTAATTCAGGTAATAAAATATCCATTGCATCCTGCTCAAAGCAGCATTTATTAAAGAGAGCATCAAGATAAGTCAATCCATAACAAAGCCTTCCCTCCTACAAATATGTAAACAAGTCATCAGCAAGTTATTATTACAATATAAAAATTAAAGCTTACATTGCATTTTTTAAAGCTACTAACTTCAGTCCAAATGGAGACAGTCTATGGTCTATAGGATTTAAAAATACAAGTTCTTGAAAAATGTTAAAGTATTGCCTTTGCACATACACATATTTGTATAAAAATACTTAAAAATACCAGCTTCCCATTAATAAAAGCAACACCAAAATAAAACACATTTTTGTCATAAAGAGACTTTTAAATGCATCCAGCATTTTCTTCAGCATTCTGTTTTATCATATTATCTTCTGTTCACTTAAAATTCATTATACTTTGTAAAATGTATCTTGGATATTATTCAGTTACTTTCATATACCAAAGACATTCACAATATTGGCAATTACATTGTAATCAGAGTCTGGCCTAAGCTTATTTGCAGCTGAGGCCATCAATTTAATCCTCATCTCAAACATGGGTATTTCAACATGTACAGCTCTTGCTCAGAACTCTGAGTCAGTTCACATATATTTTGGAAAGGCTTGAAACCTTGATGTGATTTAAACAGAAATACATATTCTCTTTTAAAGCACCTTTAACCTCTGTGTAACTTTTTGTTTAACTACATTAGCAGTCCTGTTGGTGGCTGTCCATCAGTTCTCAGGAAATACTCTGAGCAGAAGATTATCCAATTTGACAGGAACAACATTTTACAGTCCAAGACCAAACAGAATGTTAAGGTAAACATCAACTTTAACATTTTTTCCAAGTTTACTGGTTAGAGCTAGGCAGATCACTTCTGCAGTTGCTAAGGCAAGAAAACTTTGAAAATTCTCTGTACACAAAGTTTAAACAATTGTGTAGTATTTTGAAACCCAACTAAATTCAAAAAGCAAATTGGGAGGAAAGCTACCCATGCCATTGGGCTCTGCCAAGCATCAGCTGACAACGAACAGCCAGAAGAAAAAAAATCAAGATAATACAGTGAACCAGTTTCAGGATGAATTCAAAGAGCAAAATCAGGCTGTCAAGAAAAGAATTTTACAGCTGGATATTGGACTGAACAAGACAGTTAGGAAAACCCTGGGAGTTGGGGTCACTCAAGACAGTATCTGAGAGAACCAAAGTATATTTAAATGGAAACAGTAATGAATATGAATAATTCTGCCAGTTTTCCTACTTCCATGCAAGGTTCAGGAAGAGTTTACTTAGCCAACTGCATTAGCAAGTTAAGTCTCCTCCAAGTTACAGCCTCAGGTACACAGAGACACGAAGAGTAACTTCCTGACACGAGTGTGATAGAGCCCAAAATACTCAACTGATCTTCAGCTCTGGAAGTGTGTTAAAAACACAAGCCCCAAAAGAGGATCTATGTGACCCTGTAACATGAACTGTATTTCTGAAAGAAGGACTTACCCTGCTCCTTCATGCAGGATTCATATTTGTAGAAAAATGATCATTTTATTGCCCTGCTTGCTGATAAAAGCAAGCATGATGAGTTACAGCAAAATGTGGCAGCAAGTGCTCAAGGAAGATGCTCAGCTGGACACTAAGTCAGAGATTCCATCCCAGGTTAGTTGAATGTTCAGAGAGGGGTGAGATGCAAATACAAAAGCTTCAGCTTCCTCTAAGGTCTGACACACCTTAACACACAGCCAGCCTCTCCCTGCACTCAGGGAAACAGATGAGAAGCGCAAACATTCCTGGGGCAGAAGGGACTCCCACACCCTGAGGAGGATGCCTTTGTGATCACTCCCTCCCCACAGACAGCAGCTCCTTGTAAAAGCTGGATCACAAGGTACAGTCTTGGCTAGAGGACAGGAGATCTGCACTGTACTCACTTGGGAGAGAAAGGCCTTCCTGCCTTCTGATATGGAACTGTGTCTGAGTAGAGCAATCCAAGCTTTAGACTTGTAATCACACATGGACTGCTGGGACTTCTCACTACATCACTGAACTTCCTCGAGTGTATCACAGCTTGGATAAGTTAGAGCACTGTGCCATCCCCGTGGTGCTTGAGCACAGCTTTGCACTGGGTTTACAGACACCGCTCACAGCCAGGGAGTGCTGCAGTGCCATGCAGAACAGCTGCACTGTCCACACAATCCCAGCCCCAGCCTGCAGGATGCAGCAGGCTACTCCGAGTGCCAGTGTGTACCAATAGGGCAGTAAGTGCCCACCAGCAGGGAACTACTGCTGCTGCAACAAAGAACTGCAGTGGTTCAAGCCTTGGGAACATGGTTAAGTGCGCTGCAATAGACTTGCAGATGACTGTCAATACCTGGGGGAAGGACTGGAGTCAGAGATCCAAGGGTAAAACAAGTCACATGCCATTTTCTCTTCAAGGAAAGCAACACCATCTCTCCCCATGATATGTAATGAAATACTATCTGCAAAAAGTGGGTGATTTCTCCCTGAATCCACAGTAGAAATACAGTCACACGGAAAACTGAAATCAACCTAATTCTCAGAATCGCAGAAAATAGAACCAAAGAGGACCTAAAAAAGTCATTGTCACAAGTCCCTGCCTTGAAGGACATTCCAAAATTCATCTCTGTGCAGATATGCCATGGGACTCCAGGTTATAGAATGGCTGACTAAATCAACTACATTTTTAGAAAAAGATACTTATATGCAAATTATTTAGTAATAACTTTAGCAAAAAAGGTACTACACAGACCATTTTAGGATTCACACATGATATGAAATATACACACAAATGTTCTAAAATATATATATATTCATTCTTAAAGCAATGTAGAGCAAAACCAAACCAGGGCCTGACTCATCTATCACACATGCCTTCGTGTTGGCGTGACTTCTAACACACAGCTGATGGGCTGAGCAGATCCCTGAGGTCCAGCAGTGGAATTGCTACAAGTTTCACTTACCACAATTTTAAACAAAAACTGACTTTAAAAAAAAAAAAAAAAAAAAAAAAAAAAACCAAAAAAACCCCACACAGACAAAAGCCCCGCAGCCTTATAATACACAGAAAGGCACCTGATTATATTGTTAGTAGCAATTATCTACAGCCTCCTAACTGTACTTAAGCAATAAATTTTAGAAATACAAGAATTGCTGGCATTCAACCTATCAAGTCACTAAAATTACATGTGCAGTTGTCAATTATTAAGAGTGTGCAAAACTACACAGTTTTGCATAAAGTGCTATATGTACCCCCAGTTTGCACCTGTTAGAATGATATAAATTTGTTAAGCTTGGCAACATGATGCAAGATGATGATGTTTAGGACGTGTCCTATCGAACCTCGCCTTTCCTTTTCCTTTCCCACCATCATCCACTGTCCTCAAGACTGTACATTTAAAAATTACACAAGGGCCTTCTCAGGAATTGTAGCTCAGAAGAGTATTTCAAGTATATCTATTTTTCCATGTAAACTTGGGGACACTATGGGTTCCATTTTCACAAGCTCCAAATACTTACAACTTGCTCTAATTCAACTGGAGTTGTAGTTATTTCTGTCAGTTCAGTACCTCTGGCACAAGGCTGTTGTTTCCTGTTACTCATTTAACCCCCACTTTGAGGAGTGCTGAAATTCATACCATAACTTGTCCAGACTTAAATCTAAACAATAAGCAATTACAGAAGAGCAGAGTAATACTTTATCTCATCACTTGGGCTCACAAAACCAAGTCCTACTGTATCTATCCATACATACTCATATATGAATCATACACGGGGTCTGTAACACTTGACACACTGAATTCAAGTTATCAGAGTACAGCAGTTTGTCTTGCAGACATTGTGCAACGCACTCAGAAGTAGACAACAGGTCTCTTCTTCACTCTGTATTTCAGGGATCCGTATCGTATCTGAGGGGAGAAACAAAATCACAACTTAACAAGGAGTTGAGTCACATAAGGCAGAAATATTATTTACCTCTCCACTAATCCCATTTAGCAGATGTCTTTAAATGTGCTTTGGACACTCCACAGTTTCATTAAGAGAATCTACCTATGACTGAGTAAGATGCAGTTTCAACAGAATTGGGTCAGAAGAGTAAGTCTCAACTGTTCGCCTGGAATTACCCATAAACTTTTATGAGACTCCACAGAGTTTTATCCTAAAGTATCTTTAGATTTTGTGGCACATACAAATAAAGAGCACTTTGAACCCTACCTCAAATCTTCTCTTTGTAGAGCACAAAGAGTCAAAGCAGGCCATATGTCTATCGGAACTATCAAATTCTGAATCTTCTTTAATCCATTAAACAGCAGATGCTGAAGTGTGCATGACGTGCAGGTGGTAATACCACTCTCCACAGCCATTTCAAGGTGAGCAGTTCCTGGAATTTGGGCTTGGTGGTGCCAGAATCAGCATTGTAAGCACAGAGTGTGTTTCATCTCCTCTCCCTGTTCCTCTCTCAAATTCATTTCATTCCTGTATTTCCCTTGAACGCTCCAAAGTACAAAAGCCCCAAGCTTCGGTATTATCACACACTTCGTTCTCCATTTATCATTTTACAGCCCAGTTATCACTGATAACTCCTCCAAGATTAAGAATCAATTTCTGCACTATTAAGAACATAAAGGTACACTGGACCAACTCAGTAATCCCACAGGATCATACTTGCCTCTTTACGGCCTTTACTTTTCACAGACTTCATGCTCTGAGTTCTTCGAAGGCCTCTCTGAGCAAACATTTCATCCTCTGAATGTGTCCCCTCCATCTCTTCATCTGTTTTATCATCTCCAGCATTTTTTTCCAGTGGTGTTTTGTAACCTTTTAAAAAAATTTTTTATAAAAATGTTTAATAAGAAGTAGATGTAACTTTTAGCTTTTGAAGAAAGCCACAAGTTTTATCTTTAGCACACAGCATTTACTCCTTTAAACTATATGGTCAGTGTATCAGCTACTTCAAGACAGGGAACATGCCAGGAGCTTCTTACTTCTAATTCTGCCATTTGTAAGGAATAGACCACTTGACTCCATAATCAAATGTGTAATGCCATGGTTCCTCAGTTGTCAAAACTGAAACCCTCAGTCTGCCACCATCTTCTGCTTTAAACTGAACTGCAAAAACCCCAGTGATCATCCTAAGGAGTACTTAAGGTTTCTGGACACAATTCACGTGAGAGGAAAGTTACATTAGATAAATCTTTAAAGGTCCTTTCCAATCCAAACCATTGCATAGGATCATAGAAACCATTCGTAGGATCTTTCTCCATGCTCACATCCCTCTCTGCATATTTTAAACCAAAGCTCCTTTCAGCTGGGTAACATGTCAAAGTACTGTTAAGGGTTGTTTACATCCTGCAAAAACAGGACCAAGATTACTACCCAAAACTCTCACTAGAGGGCACAAACTGCTTAAAAACACATCCGGAAAAGTTCCTTGGAGTCCAACTGCCCTGAACCCCCACCACAGCCCTGCCACAAAGCCTCCAAATCCAGACTGGTTCCTTCCCTCACCAAACTCTCCTTCTGTAAAGCCATTCCAGAACCTATGGGCTGTAACACTCAGGAACACCTTTAAAACTTCAAAACAAACTTTACTAATGACCAGCATACCTTTCATCTTAAGCCAATATTTTATTTCTGCTTAACTGCATTCGTTTCCTCAATTCTCTCTTTGTTCCTGAAATTACAATCACATTCACCTACTCCACAGCTACTTCAGGTAGACTTACCTCTTCTGACATTCCAGAGGGAACACATCTCTGCTTCCAATAGTTTCAACTCGTCTTTTTCCATATGGAAGATTTGAATTGTCTCTCTTACTCCATTTCTGACCAGGGATGTTTGCAGTGACACCAATACTTCCTTATCTCTATTTGTAGCACCTTTTCTGATGCATCACCACCACCTTTGCCCTTTTCACAGCAAGCATCCTGACAGCTCAGCCCTCCTATGAACAATGTCCTACAACTAGGCCTTTCCAGCCAATCTGCACAAAACTCCCAGCACAATGGCAAAAAAACCCAACATCCTGTTAAGCACAACCAAATATTGCTATACAGCTTTCCTAAATCCATCTGTGGTTTGATCTTTTTTTTAAAAAATTCTAATACTGAAGAAAATTCAAAGAAAACATGAGAGGTATATCTTAGATCTGAGTCCAGGAGCAGAAGCAATTAAGTTCAACTAGCTCATAGAAAGCTTTTTGATATTTAAGATTACAGTCACTGATGGTAAGATTCAAACAGTATAAACTGAACCTTTCTTTTTTATTAAATTTAGAGCATTTTCAAGCTATTGCAAGTAGATAACTAATGCTCTTTTACTGAAGAACAGCCCCTGCACAACAGCTGAAGGGACATCATCCCTAATACAGGCCCTGATGAATTCCTGGCTTTCTCTCCAGCCAGGAGACCTGGTCCATACACTGCCCTGCATAGGTGGGATGTGCAGTTCAGCTCAGAGCCATTCAGCTGGACATCTATTCCTCAGAAACACCATGGCCTGCCACGTAATTCCTGGAATTCCTTGTACCCTACAAGAATCACCCCTCCCAGAAATGGAAGGATGAGAAGAAATGACAGGTTTAGGTGAAAAAAAAGAAAAATACCAGTCCTACTTCTTCTGTGGGAAATATCAACTCCTTTACATTGCAGCCCCATCATTTCAAATGGTGCCGTTGTCAGTCTTCCACCTAAACCTTCCTTCAAGCGTCACAGCCTCAACAGCAAAGTGATGACAACAACAATACATGCAATATAACAGTAAAATAATATCTCTGAAAAAAGCCATGTACTGGTTGCCACACAGTGTCTTCTGAGTGCTGATATGACAACTCAGTGCCTTCATTAGTCCTATCACCATCAGCAACTGCACATTTTGATCTATCATTGCACACCCAGGGACCTTCCATTAATTTTCCCTTTTTATTTATTGAGCTCCAATATATTATCATGTTTATTTTTTACACTGTCACAGAAACACCACTTACGTATTTTTTTACTTCCAATTAAGTTTTACTTTGGCAAGGAATTCTTGTTGCCAACTGGCAAAGACAGGAGTAATGAGCACAGTATGACTACACAGAGTGGCTGTGGAAAAAAATTCAGATAGGATTTCTCAGCTTGTATTTTGACCACATCTACTCTGTTTCAGTGGAATTATTTGAGGTCTTTTCCATTTAGAGATGGGGTAAATTTATTTCTGCTTTTCCACTTGTGCCTTGAGTAAATTGTTCTTTTAGCTAGAAAAAAAACCAGATACATACCTGAAGATTCACTTGTAGAGGCTCTGGTTTTCTTTTTTGCTTCTGGTAAGGTCTGATAGGGCTGTCCCACAGGCTCATCTCCTTGTATAGTGGTCAGATCGTGCATACTGAAACTCCTCAGCTTCTCAGTTATTGCACCCTGGCTCTGAAATACAACAACAGGATCCTTGAAAGCACAGCACAGGTTTAACTTTGCTGCTCAGCTGGGGTTAAGGTGTTTAAGCCCATGCTTCCTTGCTGCACTACAAAACACAGGACATACACATGCAGCAGATTTACAGTTGCTTTAGGTATTGCTTTCACCCACGTTCAACTGGAGGTCGCTCTTAGATGGCAAAGTTACACATAAACTGGCAGTTCCATCACAAATGCCTCATTGCACTCCTTTAACCTGAGCAAATAAGGGCTCCTTGGGTGAGAGGAAGGGTTTAAAAAGAAACACCCATCAGAGATGTTCCATTCACTTCAAACATGGCATTTCTCTAGCAGTTCTGGGTAGCAGGACTGAGTTTAATGCTTCCATTTTGAAAAGCATGGATGAAGAGCATTTCCTGCTGTTTTAGATTTTACCCTCCAAAAATTTGAATATGCATAAGAAAGGGAAAACCTGTTAAAAATATGCTCTGTATCATAACTCAAGGAACTGAGAAAGTGGCAGCTGTAGTTGACAGAAACTTCAAATCACAAACACCAGAGGTCCTGCCTGGACTCCAGGCTAGCAGGTCCTCCTACTACTCCAGTTTTACTGACATAATAACAACCCAAAATTGAATGATACACAGGAGAATAGTTGATCACATGTGAACATTATTATTCCTTCTCCAACTGTTCTTACATCTCTTCTGTATGGGACATAGAGAAAGTTCCCTGTTGGAAAGAAGGGCCATCAAGCAGCTCTTTCATCTTACATCAGATGTTATCATTAAAGCACTGAAGATTACTTTACTGCATAAGCAACTAAAAGAACAAGCACACAAGAACAAGGACTCAAAGCCATGTTAAAATAGCATTTAATTCTTCCCCTCTGTGGCATGAGGCAAAAAAATCACCATTTCAGTGGAAGGTTGACAAGCCTGTGCATGAATCCCACTTCAAGCAAGCGCTCAAGACTTTGTTCCATTCTTACAAATGAAGCTTTTAAGTAAAAGCTTTACTTTACGTTAGCTAGCAGCAGCAGAAATCTGGGTACAGTTCCACACACCTTCCTCTGCAACAGCACAAGGCAGTTCTTGCACCACTGGCCACAGCCATTTGTTCCCACTCTGATGACAACTGTTTGCATGTGGTAGACCAGCACACTAAACTATTCCACATTAAAAATAGCCATGTAAAGGGAAGAGACATTGGACTTAAACTCCTTAAGCTTGCAGAGCTACCAAAGGGTGGGGGTGAAAGTGGCTGAAACCTAATATTCATTTTCTAATGACTAGTCATTAGTACAGCATATAAAACTAAGTGTGCTACTCAGGCAAGAAGAACCTATTATAATTTTTACACCACTATTCATACATGGACACTGTATAACAAAGAAAAGGTTTCTTGTGAGAGAAGTAGAAGCCTTAACTTCTCCAGCTCTTCCTACATACTTGTAGGATGACTCACAGTTCTCAAAAGCATGGGAACAGCTTGCCTTTGAGTTAAAATGTACTATGGACACTGCACAGTCTCTCTGTATAGAAGACTGTAGAAATTCTGAAGTCAATTCTATTCCCCAAAATGGTTTATTTAAGGCAGATCTCTTAAGATTCCTCCTAAGGCAGGAGAAATCCTGCCCTTTCACTACTTCAGTTCTTGTCAAGAGAACTGGAGGGAGAACAGCTCAGGGTATCTGCTATAACACAGGACTGCTGATCAGTTTGTGTCCACTGCTTCAAGAGAAGCAACAGGACATGAGTCTCAGCCCCTGAACACAAATGAATATGGAAAATAGGCCCAGCTGGTTCAGTAGAATCCACACAAATTCAGCACAAGTCCACTTGCCAAGTGTGAACAGAGTCTGCTATAAAAGAGTGACAGAAGCTGGTTTTGGCCCAAAGCACAAGTATGTAAAGACACACTTGCATAACAGTTGCCCAGCAAGTTCATTCATCATATGATACACTACAAAAAGACATTTGGAAATTGTACAGGATAACAAATTTAGGCCTATAACAACTATCATGCTAATGAGAATTCACATTACAAGCCTGTATTTCTTATTCTGCTGTAGATAGAGGACGAGATCCAAGCTGGAAACATTCAGCCTTATTTTCCAGTGCAGCTTTTGGACAGAGAATTTTGTTTTTCAAAGGGGAGGGGGGGGGGGAAAGTCAGCTGTGTACCATAAAACAACACTGTGCCCTTAACCAAACTGCATGCTTGAGCTAGAGCTCCTGTGGAGCACTGCCTCGTTCAGGGAGGACCTAATGGAATCATACAATGGGCCCTTCATTCCAAAAGCACTTGCCAAGATGGAAAGTTTTACTCAAGTTACACACAGCAAAATTAAGAAGTTTGAAAGCATACATACACAAATAAGAGAAGCAGCACATGCCCCAGAGTCACAGGAGGAATGGGGGTTGCACAAGCACTGCTGTGCAGGACAGTCACCATCACACTGTGCTAATCCTATGCAGGTGCTCCCTACATTGTCCCCAGTCTCCATCTCACCCCCAGGAAGATCCAGTCTAGTCTAAAGAAGACTGATATCTACTTCACCACACTGCATAGACTAACTGAAGGACAAATGTCAAGGTGTTTTGTGTGGGTGTGCACATCACCGTGCTCACACTGCATTTAGGACTCAAGAAGATCCTTCCACCCCCATGCCCAAAAGCAGCAGATAATTGCTTTCTGCTGAAACAAAGCATTCTGTGAGGATCTGGATTACTATCAGCTCAGGATGAAAGTCTGGTTGAAAAATATTAAACTCCTTCCTACAGCAGGAAATGTGAGATTAAATACCTTCTGCTGCAGGAAATGTGACAGTAACATTCACATTTAGAATAATAATGCTTTAAGAGCTTCAATACCTGGGATTGAAAGTTCACAGAGTTATTAGTGACTGCTGGAAAGCAACGCCCAAAAAAACAGCAGGCAGAGCAATCCAATTACAGGTAGAGCTGAAGGGCCATCTCCTGCTTCCAGTGCATGCCATGGACACAGCAGCAGCCATCACCTCTCCCCAGATACCCACACCCCAAGGTGCTGCTCAGGAGAAGGTGGCAGAGCAGTCACCCTGCCTGCACTGGTGGCCCAGGCTGTCAGCAGCTCCTCTCAATAAAGAAGAAATACATCAGGCTGCATCCAGCCCAGAGATTGCCAATTAAATTCGAGCACAAAGGATTGAGACACACGCATTTACAACCACAGAACTTCAGTGCTCAAATTTTTATGTAAGTAAATGTTTTAGATGAAGGGTGAATCTGCTGTCTTAAACAAAATTCAAGTCTTACAGAATAATTTTGCTTTTCAATTTGATAGCATTTGGTAAAATATATTAAACGCTTTTCATAGTCCACATTCATTACCAATGACCAACGTGAAACACTAATTAAAGCTGCAATACATTTCCAAAACAATTTTTTTTATAAATATATCCTACTTAAGGGTCTCCTTTCAAGACTACTCAGCCTCTAGCAAGCTATTAGTATTCAGTCTCATCACCTGCCCCTCATAGATGCAGTGCCACTCTCTATTCTGTTATTGAGCATGTCTTTCATAGTCTATATGCTTAACCCAGGCAAGTTGCTGTAAACAAACACCACACTGTGTCTGCCTCGGGACTCTTTTTGTTGTTTAAATTGGACCTGCAGCCCTCAGTGGCCAGGATCACAGACTAAAGCTGCTTGCCTTCCCTGGACAAGTTCTCAATGGACTCTGTGTCCACAGAGCTGCAGCACCCACATTCTCAGCTGCTCCCTCCCTGATCCGATGGGAGCTGACAGGGAATGACTCCTGTTCCCTCTCAGGCTGCAGAGGGGTTGCTGTCCCGTGAGTGACCTCTGCAGCAGGCCAGGCATCCCAGCAGGGAGGAGGATGAAAGCAGCGCTGCTGCTCACAGTGCTGCTGGCTGTGTGCCACAGCTGGCTGGGAGACACCTCCTTCCTCAGCCATGCCCGGAGTGGGAACACTGGGAACTCCAAGCAAGGCCAGGAGAAGGCTACCCAGCCAGGAAAGAGGCAGTAGACTCAGGGTGGCTAAAAGACTTTCAAAAACGCAGCCCTCAAAACATATTATCCTCACTACCAACACTTCACAGATGAGCACTGTTTGTGTGACCTCAGGAAGAGGGACAGAGCAGTTCACAGCTTCGTTAGCACCATCCTGTTCCAGGAGATAGAGAAACCAATTGTCACTGGCAGCTCAAGAAGTCAGGATTTATGGGTTGGTAAAAACTGAAACGTGCAGATAATCAGCACCTCAGAGGACCTGAAAGGCAGATGCATCAAAATGCAACATGTATCAGTGGAACTTAGTGTTGTGGATATAATTACTCCAAATCCATATACTGTTGAGTTGAAAGTGCTCCAACAACTTTTATGTCATTAAGGGCATCTTGTTTCCATTTCTTTCACTAATAAAAGCTTCCTTTGGTATATAAAAACTCAGCACACACTATTTATTTCATCTCTAAGTCTCCTGACATCAGATTTTACAAAGATTTCTTTTCTGACATGCTAATTTAACACAATTTATTTTGCTAATGTATGCTATTTAGCAGGTTTCGAGGCACTAAATTTTCTATGAACAGTGGCTAACTGGTGCCAGCTAAAAATATCAGTATGGGAATGTAAGCTATAAGCCACTGCTCCTGCCAATTATATTTTGATTTAAATACAGCGGAGCAGGTTTAAATCTGTGCCAGATTTCAGCAGACTGACCTGGTTGGCTGCTCCAGCCCCCCTAACAGAGCCAACCAGCCTTTTAATGGCAATCCCCCATTCCTTTGACAGCCCTTGGAGAAAGTCACTCTTTCCCACATTTGATCTAGAAAATATTTCAGCACGTTTCCAAGCAATTTTACCACCCTCCCAAAGTCAGCATAAGCAGTTTGCTTGGATACTTCAGTCTCTTGTGACACAGGTTTAACCTCACACATGTTTAACCTCCCCCTCTCCTAATTTGAAACCTGCTACATCAGAATAAGCACGCAGGTTTTAAAAAAAGTTTAAAAAAAAACCCAAAAAAAAACCAAACACCAAACAGTGATGAAAGTGTGTCCTCCTTCCCATCAAAACTGATCCCACTAACACAACTCCATTCTTGAAACCTTATAGCATGCTCCACCAGCTCATGCTGAAGGGATCATCTTTTCACCTGCTGGAGGCAGCAGTCAACTCTTGGAAAAATAAGGAACAAAAATCAAGAACACATGCATTGTGTCCATTTGCTTTCCTGGAGCAGTCACGCTCAGCTTTCTGGAATGACAAACTCCAGAGGCTTAACGTGCCAAAATAAAGGTTTTTCAGAGAGTCTCCTCTTTCATACTGTTTAAAAAATCATGTCTATTTTAGGTCTTTGGTATTGTGGTGGTTGTTTTGCCCAATCATCTCATCTGCACTGAACTAATTCTGTACAAATATTCATGAGCATGTTTAACAAGTTTTAAAAAACAGAGCAGGCATCTTGCCAGTCACAGCTAAATAGCAATGAAATCCAAACACAGACACTTTGGAAAAAGTTATTCATCATTTCAGAAGAAAGTGGGAGGAGATATTTGTGTTATTTATTTTACAGTATTTCTGTAACACCATATCCAACTGTAGCCAAACACGAGGAACACACACAGAGCATAAGTATCCTTACAGGTGTACATTGTAATAAATTAGGATTTGCTGTTTGGCAAAGAATTTGCATTTTAGCATTTAGCACAGTTCTTAAACTTTGTCCCAGCAGAGCACTTTGAGGGTTTGTTTAAAAAGCCTATTTTCACTATGGATACTTAATTCCTTTGGAGGTGCACTCTATTTTATTCTAAATTATTTCATGTCTCAAGGCAATACTGAGAATTTGACTAATAAAAAACACCCCACACTGATCAAATTTAATCACATTCTCAGTATTTTAAGCTCATTATGACCATATTTTAAAACAAAAAGTGATTATGCTACCACCCACATGTATCTTTAACAGAGAAAACAAACAAGAGATGCAGGGCTATTTTTCGAAACCTTTTCGAGAGAGCATTTGAAAATGCAGTTTTCAGAAGTGTCTTTGATTTATAGAACAAGAAGTTCATAAAGAACCCCAAAAATGTAAGTTAAATGCTATCTGTACCTACTCAACTTTGACAGCCAGGGATCTCTACACTGCTTTCTGTTACCTGCTAACAGAGTTCAGGTTTTCAGGGCTGTTATTGTGAATTCAGCAGTTTCATTTATTCCCAGGAAGAAATTAATCCTGATTGCCTTAAAACCATAATTTAACTTGGACATACATCTCTTTCTCTCCATACTGGTTTTTTTTGGTGTGTGTTTTGGTTTAAATTACTATTAGGGAGAATACACATTGTCTGAAGTTATAGTCCTTTCTGTGGGACACAAGCTGCTTGGAGTCCTAGGTTTAAGCTTTTATTTTGTTTTCCTACACCTAGAACTCTCTGAAATACAATTGAGGATGGTAAGTGCTGTAGCAAGGTAATTATCTGGTAACAACCACAGGTTACTTCATGATTTATGGGAAACTACATGACAAAGCAAGTGTATGCTAAACAGCAATAGGCAAGCTTATGCTTAGTGTATTAAATTAATAATTCACTCAAGTTGCAAACAAGTTAATTGTGTCAAAGAGAACTTTTATCCATGGTAGTAGTCTTTCATGCCTTAATTCATATGTGGAGTTACCTCAAGTTGATTGGAGAAAAACAGCAGAAAAGCCAGAAATCCTTTAAACAGTTTGTTTATCAACGAGAAAGCACAACAGAGACAGAAAAGAAACAATGGTCATCTTTATCAAAAGTCTGCTCAGAAAACTGCAGGGTACCTTTTGAACTAGAGTCAACTGATCCCCATCATCCAAGAAATAACTACAAGCCACCTTAAACAATCCAAGTATGAGGAGGAATACAGTGCTGCCAGCCTTTAAATGTGTTCCAGGTTTTCAATACACCTGCAAAATTTATCTTTTTTGTTTAGGAATGGCAAGTCCTCAGTACAGTTACACTGCTCTATATCAAGGTAAAAAACAAGTAATGCAAGCAGAAAGTTACCTTTACAGCTGCTGTCACTGCAGCAGTTGCTGCCAAGTTCAACCCTTGCCTTCCAAAATTCACCATGGTCTCATAGCCTCTTTCTTTGGCCTGCACGATGTACTCGTCAATCTCCTAAAAACAAAACATTTACACTTTAGAAGGCTGATCCTAAGAGAGAAATGTTACCCCACAGTATTAATTTTCCATCAGTAAAGGAAGACAAAAATGTTTAAGAAAATATTTTATGGGATAATTACTCTTATCTTTGTATGCTGATGCTTCATTCACTACAACTCTCTCATTTAAAGAGGATTACACCTGGTCAAACAAGAAGATAAAATAGATCACTTTTGTCCAGCTCAGAAGTGTTGCAGCTACATAGCAAGTTCCTTAAAGAGAATAAGCTTGACTCGTTGGACAAAAGTTTTCCAAGAAATAACATGAAATCAGAGCTCCTTAGAGAGGTAGAGCCAGCTCACAAAGAACTTCCAGAGCCAGAGCTTTGGCATAATTAAGTACCAAGGACAATAGTCATGGCATTTACCCCTAGCTGTGATTAAGTGCCTGGAGTTGGAGATCGAGGCTACAAGGGACTTCCCAACAGCTCATAGGGAAACATCCCTTTAGCTTCCCAAGTTGCAAACAGTTTATAGCTCCACCTTCAGAAGGTCAAGATGACCTCGCTGTTGGTAGCAGTGGCCACCATGTCAGCTACCTGATTTGCCTAATAAAGGCCAAGCCTAGCACTGACCTTCCAGGAATGGTGTTTCTGGACTGTGAGGTTTCCCAGTGGCAGTCTTCACACCTTTGCTAATTGTTCTTTCCACACATCCAAACAGGATGCTGAAGAAGAGCTAAGCAGAGCTGTGGCCCTGTCAGACTTGGGCTAAAGTTAAACATCCTCCAGCTATTTTTTGTTTGGGTATTTACTGTTGCAGACAAGTCTTCCCTTAAACCTCTGTAAAAAGTCTCTCCTCTTATCCTGTCAGTTTGCCCATCAGAAATGCCCTTGATGCCAGTCACCTGGTGAGTGTAATTACCAGGTTATGCCAGAACAAATGGCAACACCAACAGCTTTTAGTAAAGTTGTGTTCGTGCTCCTGCACAGGACACTGCACGTGTTCCTGCAGGACAGAGTCAAACTGTATCCCTTCCACTCAGCCGGGCTCCTCGAAGGGCACCACGTGGAGCAGGGAACACCAGGCTCTCTGGTGTCAGAGAGCAGGACACTGTCTGCTCAGGCAAGTTAGACAGCAGCACATATAGACAGTCATGTGCTCAGCCAGTCCAAGTGTGAGCTGCAGGGCAAACCAGTGCTGCTGCTCTGCTTTCACTGTGCATCCAGAGACAGCATCGCAGCATATGGCACGTCCATATTAGGCATTAAACATCTCACAAGTTATTTCTTACTCTTTCTTTAGAAGAAAGCAGCGGGTGGAGAAATTTTCTGTAGATTAAACTTGCCCCTCTGGTATATGGGGAAAGGAGCCAGATAACAAAAGCTATCTTCAGTTCATAGTACAGTGGAAACCTACAGGCAAATTAAAAAAGGTTGCACAAAATCAACAGCTGCAGTAAGAAAATGCACAGTAATCAATCATCATGAAGAGATCTTTTCAAAAAACACAATTACATATTAGAATATAGGATTCTCCACATACAAGAAGTTATATCAGACAAAAATTAAAGGAGTTAGATTTATGGATTTAATTTTTTTAACTGGTTACTGTAATTTTTAAAATGAAAACAGTTGATGTGCTTGCTTTGCATTACACATTCCTGCACAGAGAAATTCCAGCCCATCCTTCTAAGAGTTACATTCCCCTATTCAGTTTCTACAGCAAAGGTGGAAGTGTTACAGTCCCCACTTCAAGAGCCAGTGCAGCAAACCTGAAACAGATGCTGCTCATCACATGCACCGAGACCTTTGCCTGAAAAAAGGGTTGTCAACAAGCACAACTTCTGTACACAAAATGAATCATTACAAATCCGAGAACATCCCAAACAAATACAGTTCCTCCTGGAGTTCATAAACAGCAGGCTCTTACCAGGAGACTGTTAGGTCAGTTATTGTTTCAGTGACCGTGTACAGAGCAAACACAATCCAATACATCATCCAGCGAACCTGAAAATGAAAACACCGTCTCCAGTAAGAATTTTGATCTCACCTTTACACAGAACATACTACACACTGTACAGTCTGTTCAGAGCTATCAAAGCCAGACACTCAGCAGCATCTCAGTCTGCATAAACCAGGTTTCAAGTGAAGTTACAGGAAGGTCCTGAAGGATTTCTGTTCCTAAGCAGAACTGGTTGCATCTGCACCAAGCTCCGTGGTTCACCAGGGTCACCACCTCACCTAGGCTGGCTTCTCAGAATTGGTTCTGCCTCTACAAAGCTTTAGTGGCAAGAAAAAAAAAAAAAAAAAAAAAAACCACTGCAAAGAGTTGGTAGATTATCCTAAGTATGAAGTTCAATTCCCACTATAGCTCTACAGGAAATTTCATTCTCTTCCCCACTAACGCATCAAGTTGATACCACACACACCAAAGTCAGCATTCGTGAGGCAGCCCCTGCTTTCACCTCACAACACGAGTTATTCAGCCACATGTTGCCATTAATTTATCTCTGTGTGCTTAACATTAAGGTCTTAACACCAAGGCAAGGCAGCAAAAAAGCATTTTCATGGAAATTTAATTCTATTTATATGCTGAGAACCACAAAATTCTTGTTAATAAAGAAGCTCACATGCAAGAATGTTAATGCTTCAGAGACTTACAGCTGGTTTTGTTTGTTTTAAGGTCTATACTACGTATCAGTGCTTTGAAATCAGGCAATGCTCTCAAAATACAGGGTTTAGTTCTGTTTTATAACAGTTCACTAAATCTCTCACTTCCCTTGAACATTTGTTCAAATTTGGTCATCCAAGCTGTTTATATATTACAGAATAAATACTATAGGAGTAGCTGGTGCATTTGTCTTCTCCAAGATATCAACTGCCCAGTGCAATGTATTTCCAAAGTGGGTCAGTGCAAACCAACCACTGTTTATTTGTGCTAACTGAACATCCACATGCTCTTTACATTCCAACCCTATCTATCCTAGGGAAAAAAAAAAAAAAAAAAAAAAACAACAAGACAAAAGCATTTAAAAAAAAAAATAAAAACCAAACCAAACAAAAACAAACTAAACCCAAAACAAACAAAACTGAATCTAACCCACCACAATCATTAGAGACTAGTTTGAGTCCTAAATTCATAGTACTCTCTTTCAAAAGGAGAAATTTATATACTTTCCTACAGAGGACATGACTCAGATTTAATCTTCACTTTTAAAACAATCTTTTTCTGAAGTGGACTTAAATAAGTACTCAAAACCTAATGATACACTGCTGCCTTCTTCATAGCTGTGCATTGTGGTTTAAAACCACTTCCTTTGTCAGAACTTAAGACCCATTTATCTTAAATGCTTTTCTGCATTTCAATTTGAAAAGAAACTCAGTCATGTGATGACATTCTTCACTTCAGTCTCTCAGAGGATTTAGGTATTTCAAGCTTGAATAAACTAAGACAAACCTACACAACAGCTGAAGTCATTGCTGACAGGCCATGTGATATTTAGACTGGTGACCCTTCCATGAACCACAAGAAGCACCTGAATGAAAATAAAATTAAATCCAACCTTGCCCCATCAACCTAACTATAATGAAGTGCAATTTTTCAGATGCCATGCAAGACTGAATTTTTTTCCAATATATTTTATCCATGCTATTTTTTCTTTAATCAACATCTAATTATTCAATTAGGAAAAACAGTGAAAGTGGAATTTCTCTTGGGCTGCTAGAAGCAGCCCAAGAGAAATTCAGCTCTGCAGAAGGGCACATGAGATCTGCCATGAGACCTGCTGAGGTCTGGGCGAAGATTCTATAAAACACAAATCATATTCAAGTACAACTAATGCATTAGGTACCAAAAGTATTCCTGACAAACAAACCTGAGTGACTCAGGGTGGTTTTCATACCAGAACAAAAAAAAAAAAAAAAAAACAAAAAAACAAAAACAAAACAAAAAAAAAAAAAAAAAAAAAAAACAAACAACCACAAAACATGAAAAGCCAAAGGTCAGATTTTCCAGCACCCAGAAGACTATAATCTACTTAATTCTCAAAGATGAAGTTACAGAAGCTTTGAATGAGTTTTGCTTTTCATGTTAAAAGGGTGATTACAGATTTGTTTTGTTGAAGGTGTTTTTTTTCCACCATCCAAGTGTTAAGCTCATCTTTGTTGGTTCTGGCTGAAGCACATTCTTTCAAGTCAAGATTTTGAAGCCAGGATTTGAGAAGACTGGTCTGTTCAGCCTTCTAAACTACATTTCAGATGCTTATTACAAGTGCTTTGGTGTAATACAGTGAAAAAACTTCAAGTATCCCAGTCAACCTCATTAAATCAGAGTAATTACAAGAACAAATAAATCTCCTCAAAGGCACAGATCCTAATTTCCAGCACCAAAGTCCATAAGTCTTTTAAATTACCACAATCAGCACAACACTTTTTTCCCCTAGAAATAATCTTTGAACAGTTTGCTGTATCATGACCTACTCAAGTCGAGATGTCTGTTCTTTTTGTTTGTTTTCACTGGTGGAAGCAGTGACTGAGTAAAAAAATAGCACTGTTACAAAGCTCTTACAATCCAGCAACGAACACAGATGTCTCCTGAGTCACAGGCAAGCCTGGAAAGGAAGTGTTCTTGGGCCAGGATGTGACTGGTAGCAGAGCTGGGCCATTTGGAAGGTTGTAAGTAAACCCACACTCTCTCTGTCACTGTGATGGGTCTCATTCATCTCGGCCCTATGAACATTTCGTATTCGAGTGTCACTTTTGAGACTGCTCAAAGGTTCACACTAAAGAGTTGGAAAAATACAATTACAGGCCCTACTAAGGAGCTCCTGGGTAAATGACAGTTGTCTTTCTTGGGCATTTTTTTTTTCCAGAGATACCAAAGTCATAGCCAACTGGACAACTGAGATGAGCAAAAAATCTCAGCATTCTACAAACATTACTGCTCTTTTTCTAGAAAACATATTGTAAGAGGCAATGGTAACCTTTTAAATTAAAAATTTCCTTTATTTGAGTAGGAAACTGCTATCCCCTACTTAGCCTGTGGATCTCTTTTTGAAGGAGCAGGAAGGAAAAGCAGATTATAAATTCTTTGCACTACAGACTTTCCTGACAGGGTAAAGTAAGCATGAGATGGAGGGAATTCTGCTCTTGGTTTTGATGATTTTTTTTTTCCTCCCATAAGCTTAGCTCTGGCAGGCACCAGCTCTGGTTGCACAACTAAGTTCTAATCAGCTTTACACAGACCACTCTGGAGCCTTGATGGAGTGACCAGACTAAATTAAGACATCCAAGGGGAGGAACAACACCTACAACATTCTACTGCTCCAACCAAGGACAAAGTGGAGCCATCACACACCCAGACAGCAGCCTCAGGTCACAGCTGAGCTGCAGGGACTGCCAGCCCTGCCCACCCTGAGTCAGGCAGCCCAGCTAAGGACATGAGCCAGGACAGAACACAGACATCAAGTCAGGCTGCCTCTTAGAAGAGGGAAGTAACTCAGTGATCAGCTCCTTGTGACTGCAGCTGGGTAACATTCTTGTGGTTCTCATCATTGCTCACACAGACAGGTAATTAATTTAATAGCTTAATTCAAAACTGCAGTAACTATAATTGTGTTTTTCTCCCTCTTTCTCTTCTGACTGTTCTACATCACCTTAACTGATTGTTTTTTCCTACCCTGGTTATATTTTTTCTCCTCTTTGAGGAACAACAGATTAAGGAGAGCTGCCCTTTTCTCAGGTAGGTTTCTGAATTCCCTGCTGAGCTCCATACAATGGCAAACTGCTGCTACTCTTCTAGAGGTCACTAAGAATCAATTTGTTGTTGCTTATACTTCAGGTGAAGGCAGAATTAGGAAACTTTCCTTCTATCCCATGCCCAAAACTGCATTACTTTAGGCACTTGGCTGAAATGCAGCCAAGACTTTAAGGTTCACGTTAAAAATTCTCCTAAAAATATCTACATAAAGCATAGTGTGTTGGACATGTTTCAGCATGAAACTATGAAGAGTCTGAGACACCTTAACTTTAGCCCTCCAAATAAAAATCATAGGATTGCCACTAGGCTCACACAGGTGTTGTATCTCACACTAAGATCAACTGAGCTTTCAATGATTTATTGCACTGCATAATGAAAATATCACAGATGTATGTCAGCAGAGGCATGTGGTTAAACAATTAAAAGGAATGAGACTTACATATTCTTTCACATTTTTTGTCTTCACAGCTTTGTATGAGTAATATGCAGGATACAGCATCCCAAACACCAGCCTATTGGGAAAAAAAAAAGAGTTTTTAGGATCTGTTATGCTGTAGATGACAAAACAGTGACAATACATCATTAGAGCAATGCAGCCAACTTGATTAAAAAATCCCATTAAAAAAAAACAAAACAAAACAAAAACAAACCCCACTGTGTTATAGGTTCTTTGGAGGAAGTTCCATGATAACCAAAACTGGAACAGAAAAGGCTGCATGCCCTGAAGACAAACTGTTTTGTAAGACTGCTGGTAATAGACTGGTTCAAGTAAAACCAGTCCTGCAATTTGTCCCCACCAAAAGACTCTTTCCACCCCATCAATGCTATCACACTTGTGATGAAGCATTTGAAAGAGAAACCATTTGTCTCTCACTTTTACAGATTTTTCATCTATACTTTCCCACTTACTTGACTGTGGGTAGCATCACTTCAGTTAAAAAAAAAAAAAAAGATGTATTTTTAAATTTAAACAGCAATTTATCCTCTGAATGTGTCCCCCTCAAAGAAATTGTATAAACATGAACTGGGACAAAACAGAACTTGGAGAACACTTCTTCAAAAGCAACTGATCTTCAAGCAAAAGCTTTTTACAGTAACAGTAAGGTGGTCATAAAGCTGAAGATGACCTCAAGTTAAATGAGAACAGTAGCACAAGACAAGCACTATAAAAGTAGCTGTTTTTTCCCATCTAGCAAATCTTTGTGTTACTCAATACTGGTCAAATCAGGAGTTCGAAAAGCCCCTATTTTAGTAGTCATTTTTTCTTTTAAAGAATTCTTGCAGAAGTCACTTAAAAACCAAAGGACAGACAGCACATATCATTAGCGTTCAATACCACTGTGACATGGAAGTGTTGGAAAAACTGCCACTTGAACACTAGAAATGGGCAGATAGGATTGAAATGAAACATCAGCACATTTAGCCAGTAATAATAGGAAGCAGCGAAGGTTTTATCTCTGTCCAGCCAGAGCTGACATTGAAAGTGTGGCAGGATGCTGCTGCCAGCTGGCACCACTGCCTCCCTCAAGGGAGAGTCCTCGAACCTTCGTTAAAGCTACCAGGCAATTTTACAGCAGAAAAGCCAACTTGTCAACAGTGAGTGTAACTGAAGGTCAGCAAATTGGCTTTTATCCTCAATCTACACATGACAGATCAGAGAGCACTGACAAAGGAGAGCTCCCTGCAGCTGACCGGGGAGCAGCACACAATTAACACCCCACCGTGTTCCAGGCATTTTCCTGTTTGCATCCCTACCTTCTAACATCTCAAAGCTGTCAGCAACACCTACTCTACACATAAGCACATCCATCCTCTGGTATTTCAACAGTAACTGCACTGTTGTGCAGTTCAAGGATGTGCCCAATTACTCCCTGGCTTTTCAAATTTAAAAGCTTGAGTTGTTATTTTTAAAAGGGCTATTTGTATTTCACGCTGGATATCAACACACTGCACTGACATACAGACAAAAACAAAGGCAGTTTCCACAGATGGAAACAGATTTCAGCCAAGTAGGATGTCATTTACTTTATTTTACTAGTAGATATATGGATAATCCTGCTTACCAATGTAATTTCACTACCAGTTGTAAGCCCAGCTATTTCAGTTTTTCAGCTGGACTCAGCAACTAACATTCGTTTTTTGGTACAGTCACTTCCTTTATAGGCCTTTTCCCTAATTAAAAGAGAAATGTTTCTCAAACATATCAGGAGATCAAAATCAAAATACAAAGAAAAAATGTATCAGCCTTTAAATCTGAATGAAACAATGTATTTGGGTATCCATATAGTTGTATTTTTTAAAAAAACAACACACTTCCTGTACTGTCACATAATCTATGGGCTTACAGTTTTAAAAGCTTTAAAGTGAACAACTGCTTGAAAAGCTCATTTCTGAAGCAAAGCATTTTGAGTTTGCATCTGACTGATAACCAAAAAATCAGTCACCTGTACACACATCTCTGGCACTGAGCATATTTAACCTGGATAGAAAACAACTCTAAAGCCAAGGCTGCAAAAAAAAAGAACTAAAAGAAACCAAGACACAAAAGAAAGCCACTAAGTCGCTCAAAAGGACTACTTGGCATCCAGACTCCCAGCACCATTAAACCAACAGGGCATTTAAGGCTTTGGTCTGTTCGCATTGCCAAAGAACTGCCCGGAGCAAGGAATAGCGTTTGGCACTTGATTCCTTCATTCCTCTGAAATGCAAAAGAGGATCAGTCTGGCCCTTGCCTAGTAGTAAAAGCAATCCAGGAAACTCCTTGAGTATCAGATACTCTGGAGACAATGCCATTCACTGGCAAAGCTCCCTTTCCTTAACAAGTCTGATAACAGAGATGACACCCCCTTGCCCACTCACTGACAGACTGAAGATATTCGGCACAGATACAGAGCCCACGCTTGCTAATGTGTGCAGCTACATCTTTCTTCTACATGAACTATAATTACTATTCCACTTACGGTTTAGCAAGTTTAGTCTAAGCAAGATTTCATTTGAAGGGAAGTTTGCTAATGGAAACTAAATAGCAGAACAAAAAATCCAGAGAACAACCCTTGAATCTTTGGCTGTTCCTGGCTATAAAAAGGCAGATCCAGCCACAGCCTTATCAACACATCCACTGAGGTTTCAACTGGCACACACTGGGAAAGCAAAAGTATTTCTGCTTAGACTGTGTGCCATTCATACACTTCTAAGCCACTCCCATCAAAGATAAGCAGTTTGGATTTTTTTCCTCTTTTTTTTTTTTTGGCTACCAAATGGTAAGGCTAACCAGTTATGCACTAAGCTCTAAATGCTATGCATCTCTGTGGTGCCCTCATGCTCAAAATAAGGCATAAGGAGTATCTGTAAGAATCCTATTCAGGAGGAAAAATACCAAAAACCCTAAATGTGCACTCACCAGTTACCATCATGAGCAATTATTAATTCAGCTGGGGGAAAAAATTAATTTATTGCCAATCAAATCAGAGAGAAATAAGGATAAATCTTAATCATCTTCCCTCCACCACCACCACCATCCTTTCTTCCCAGGCTCAACTTCGCTTCCCAATTCTCTACCTCCTTCCCCACCAGCAGCACAGGGGAAGGGGAGTAGGGATTACAGTCAGTTCATCATACTTGGTCTCTGCTACTCCTTCCTCCTCAGGGGGAAGACTCCTCACATTCTTCCCCTGTTGCAGCACGGGGTCCCTCCCACAGGGGATAATCCCCCATGAGCTACTCCAGTGTGAGCCTTTGCCACAGGCTGCAATTCTCCACAAACTGCACCAGCATGAAACCCTCCCACGGGGCAGAGTCCTTCAGGAACAGGCTGCTCCAGCACGGGATCCCTGCAGGATCACAAGTCCTGCCAGCAAACCTGCTACAGCCCAAGCTCCTCACAGCTGCCTCACCATGGTCTTCATTTATCACAGGCTGCAGGGGAATCTGTTCCAGCACCTGGAACACCTCCTCCTGCTCCTCCACTGACCCTGGTGTCCGCAGAGTTCTTTCCCTCACATATTCTCACTATTTTGTCTGCTGTTGTGCACTTTTCTTCTTCATCTTCTGAAATCTGTTATCCCAGCAGTGCTACCACTGATGGGCACAGCCTTGGCCAGCAGTGGGTCTGTCTTGGAGCCAGCCGGCATTGGCCCCATCAGAGATGGGGGAAGCTTCCAGCAGCTTCTCACAGAAGGCACCCCTGTAAATCCTCTGCTACCAAAACCTTGCCACACAAAGCCAAGACACTGCCAAAAAAGCAAGACCTTCAAACCATGCCTTGCCAACTCCCTCCGAGCGTTACAGCTGGGTCCTGTCCTAAGTTTCAGACTAAACCGCCTCCGTTTTCACATGTCCAACAAACAAAAGCTCACCCCGGCCTTTTTGTCCTGAATGTTTTTTGAAAAGCACTACACTAGACAAAGTCTTTCTGTCCAGCACCTGACAGAATTCAGCTCCCTTCTGCCATTCAGTTACACAACACTGACCACAGCAATCTGCAGCAAAAGGTTATGTATTCAAGTAATTACAAAGCTTCACTGTGACCAAAATGTTAGTCTGCTACGGGGTAAGCTCCTGAGCCCCACACCAAATTTATCCTTCTTTTTCTTCCACCTTGGGCAAGGGGGAAAAAACCAACCAAAAAAAAAAAAAACCAACCAAACAAAAAAGCCTCACATGAATCCTATTAAAAGAACATGTCTGCTAACAGTAGCAAACAAACTCAGCAACTCCTTCAGCAGATAACAGTTACCAAAAGGCAGGAATGTGATCAGGAACAGGTCTGTTAAAATCCTCATAGCATTCTTAGAGAGTAGCACCAAAAGCCAAGGGGAAAAAAGTCTTAACAGTTAAAGAATACACCCAGAAGCATGGACAGATCTGAATAAAGCACATTCTTGAGCAAAGCAAGGAGGCTATTAACTTTCCACCTCAGAAAGCTGGAATTCTCCAAAGCAACTGCCAGATTCTCCCAAAGCACAACACAACCAACAGCAATGCAATTACCCAAGGAGTTGGAAGTCATCTTAAAGTTTTAAGGGGAAAAGTTACATCCCTCCCAATCCTGCTAGAAAGTGGGACTTTTCTATGCCAGGAGCATTTTTTTAATAGGCCCTAAGCATAATAATTGCAAGCAGTCTGATAGGAGGCAATCAAACCTGTCAACCAGTGCAGAGCTCCAAGCTCTGTTATGCATATCCTATCTACTTGTCTTTACAGAATATTTATTGACTTACCCCAAATTAGGGAACCTATTGCCAGATACTCTCCAAGTTGTCTCAACATGGAAACAGCCCTGCCTGAACCTTGAAAGAAGCCTAGAAAGAGCACAACAAAAAATTAAAAAAAAAAAAAAAAAAATTCTCTTCTGCAAGGGATGTTCTCACTGGAATCTGTGTGGAAGTGCTGATGTACTTATGGGCAAGACCCCTACCTAACACAATAAAGATCAGAGAGTGCTCTTAATTAATCATTACCTTGGTACGTAAACACACCTGAAATTAGATGTGTTACCTCCTTCAGCAAGAAT